TAGGGTGCTATTTAAATGCAAGTTGTTATTGACAGCAATATTCATTAATAATCAGTTGAATAACCTAAAATACTGGGCATCCCCCTATAACTTGGTGCTTTATAACTTTATAAAACAGCTATTGATCCCTCTTCAGGATTATGAAGTCGCTGCTGAACTCGTTCACGGTATTGACTGGCTGCTCCTGTGCACACGTGCAGAAGGCCTACCACAAGCACATACACTAACCACAGATCCACAGGACATTCGTGTTATACACGGACTCATGCTCTAGCAAAGCACATTATAATTGGGACATCCTAGAATTATCCTTCATGAGCACACCTACACCTCATGATTTCCATTATCCAATAAATGCTCTTGAAATTTGTCATTTCTCTTCAAATGTTCCAGTGAAGCAGTGACTTGTGACAAATCTGCTCGTCTATTTACAGACCCGTCTAAATGCACTCACATTTGACAAACTGATGACAGTTAAAATACTCCCTAAACTGAACAACAGTCTGAATAAAATTTGATTAATACACAGGACTATAAGTAAATAGTTATGCAATTCACTCATCTCTAATGCAGGGCTAATGGTAGTGAAAATAATAAAACGAATTACTGCATTTGATGTAACATGCATAACAGAAATATCTCAAAGTGCCTATCAAATAATTGTTGTCAAGTGAAGTGAAGATTTGTAGGCAGCAAATAAGATTTACATACAGCGAGGAATTTGAAAAGCTTCAATATTAGATGAGAACAAAATAAAAAGAGAAACATGGAGGCAGGCCAGGGGGTCTTCATTCAGGAATGTAGCAATTAAGAGTTCACATAACAGAGCAGTATTCAAGTCTTGTGCATACCATTGAACGGTTAATAAATGTTTGGCATTAAAGAGGAAATCAAGCGTCTCAGCTTTATTTGATATAAACTAGTTCAGTGTAATTTCAAAAGAAATATACAAATAAACCGCTGGGTGTTCTTTCAGAGTGAACGAAAACAATTTTCTGCAATTAACAGCAAGGACCAGGTTTGTGTTGGAAACCGCAAAACTAATCAAAGTACATTACATGTGATATATAAATAAGAACTGATTAAGGATTTATAAACTAACCATTGATTTATAAAATCACCAATTTGTGAAACCAACAGGATCATGATATAAATGTCTTAGAAACTAGTTCTGCTCTTTCAGTATTGTTCGTCTCATGAGGTCAACCACTAAAAGGTACAAAATTACACATTAGCATGTATGAGAGACATAGCCACACATTTGAATTACACATTAACTTTCAAGATGAATCTCAAGATACCACAATATAGTTGTCAAGGTCAATGTGTTCAAAAATCAACAACCCATTTGATTTCCAGAACATCTTTCAAAGGGTTTCTTTATGGGATTCTTGACTCACAATTTTAGCTTCTTCCTCCACAAAACTCTCAATAAGGTACCAGTACTTATCAGAGGGTGCAGAGAGGTAGCTTCTATATCCCACAAAATAATCCTTTCATTTGAAGTAGCGTCTTATCACATGGTCAAGAAGTCTCAAAGCACTTCACAGGATATACTGTAAAATGGAGAGACCTTGTGGGTGATAAAGTGGGATAACTCAGGATTGTCTCCATTCCTCACACTGCAAGTTCCTAATCTCATCTGCATATGACCAGGAAGGCAATGAATGTGTAACATCAAGTTATAAAGCAGCACTAAGCACTAAGTAACCAAAAAATTATTTGTTCCCACAAATATTTAAAGTTAAATTTGGAAGGTTGAGAACCTTGCACAAGGAAGAAAATACTTAAGCAATTACTTCTCAGCACCTTGTACATCTCCAGTAAAACTTGCATGGTGAGCTCCAGCCTGCACTGACCTGTTCATCAGCACTCTGAAATGTGGAAATGGCTGTACAGCAAGCAGGCATGTCTCTTTGCCATAACAGAACAATAGAGTAAAATTAACCTGAAACATAGTTCTTATCAAATACATAGAAATAAGATTAATTCTGTGGTCATGAGGTATGAGCACAGAATTAGCGCCTTGAGACGTCCTCCCGACGTGAAAGGCGTTATACAAATGTAATCTTGTTTTTGTTGTTGTATACATTCAAGAACAAATATGCCAGTCAGCCTCCATTTGTACAACTTGAACAATAACTGATATGATTGTGGAATCTGTCAGTACAAAGCCAACAAGTTCAGCGCGAACTGGAGACAAGCTGGTTCAGGGTGAGGACCCCTTATACCATGCTGTCTACAACATATTCTTTATATTTTAAAAGAGATAACCACCTGATCTTCACTTCAGCTTTGATCTCTTCAGTTCAATCCTCAACTAATAAATGAACTCAAATCAGGATTTACCCTGGAACCATGCCAGTCTATACAGTTCACAAATGGGGAAAGGCCAGCTGTGCAATGTACAGGAGGGGACTCCGTGCCCACTCAATTACCCTTTGGGACAACTTTGTTCAACTGTATGTCAGCAAGAGCAAGGCCCTCCTGATTGGCTCGCGCCAGAGCCTCCGCACCTCGGGCGCTGGCAGCATTGGCCTCCACGGCTGCACACTCAACCTCACTAAGCCAGTCAGGAACCTGGGTGTCTTGTTTGACTCTCAATTGTCCTTTCTCCCCCATATCCGCACCATGACCAGCACTGCCTACCACCACCTCTGCAACATGGCCAGACTCTGCCACTGCCTGACCCCTCAAGCTGCCGAAACCCTCACCCTCGCATTTGTCACATCAAGGCTCGATTATGGAAATTCCCTCCTCGTCGGCCTTCTCAACTCTTCCCTTCACAAGCTGCAGATCATCCAAAACTCTACAGATCATCCAAAACTCTGCAGCTTGTGTACTCTCACGCACCAGGCTCCGTGACCCCATCACTCCCACCCTCACCCAACTCCACTAGCTCCCCATCCCTCAGAGGATCGAATTCAAGATCTTCGTCCTCACTTTCAAGGCCATCCATTGCCTTGTCCCGTCCTACCTCTCTGACCTGCTGACTCCCTGCCAACGGGCTCCGGCCTGCTCTCCATGCCTCCCGCCCAACCATCGGTGGTAGGGCTTTCAGCCTCTCTGCCTCCACACTTTGGAACTCCATCACACAGACTCTTCGCCTCGCTTCCTCCTTTGCCTCCTTCAAGGCCGGTCTCAAGACCATCCTCTCCGATCGTGCCTTCAGTCGCCCTCTCACCTCTCTACCTTCCCTCACCCCTACCCCACCCCTCCCGCATGCTCGGGTCCTGACCCCTGACTGTCCAGCGCCTTGGGACATCCTCCCGACGTGAAAGACGCTCTATAATTGTAATTTTGTTCTTGTTCCAGCCATGATCCATGGAATGTAGATAGACACAAACAGACATTTTGTCTTTATGTATACTCAGCTGGGAGGATTCCTTTTAGGAGGACTCAGTGGGAGGACCCCTTTAATATATTTTCTCACCCCCTCCCTCACCCACTCCCTCCAACATCTCATCCGAGCACAGATATCTTTTCAGCAGAAATGATACAACAATGTCAACTTGTAGCCAATGAATTAAAAAATGTTTCAGTGAATTTGGACGAGGGAGGGATGTTAGCCAGTATAAATGTGAGAAATTTCCCATCTTACTTTTAAATAGCGACAGCAAGGTGAATCACCATTCAAGAATAATTACTAAGATATCAGAGACAACCCCGTGCTGCAATCCCTTGGTATGCTACAGGTTCAATCTAATGATTCCATAGAGAATTCCAAATCTCAGCAATACCATAGAAGGGTGACGACTGAGGATGAAATTCCTCGTCGCTAAGTAATGTGATGTGAACATATGAAAGGATTTTTTCAATAAAAGTACACATTGTCAGGCATTACACTTACCAGTAAAAATAAATCCTGGACTTCAGACCAGAGATTAAGGAAAGAAGNAAAAAATTAAGTAAAGATTAAATGATAAATATCTTGGTAGAAAAAGGAGAAAAGCACAGAAAAGGGATAGAAGACCAAGAAATAATCTCTCCTCTTGTGCCAACTGGCATGGCATCAGCGTGCAATAATAAATGCTACAAATGACCATTATGGACAACTGCATCAATTGACTCCATAAGTTAACAGTAGACAAAAGGTTTTACTCAATAATAATCCTTGTGTTTGATGTAGGTCTTAGCACACCGTTGAGGTGTTTCAAAGTGCTTTATAGGAAATACTGTAAAGTGGATTGTCTATTTTGTGGGTGAGGGAACTAAAGGTCATTCCTTAAAGAAAATGAGATGTGAATCAACCATCAAATACACAATCCCAATTGTTCAAACTATCCTAACAAAATTAAACATTCTTTCTCGTCAGTATTTATAATCATTATATAAACTAGCTATTTTTATTCCAATCAATTGGTTGACTCTCTTAAATCCCAAAAGTAGTTCAACCTCAACACGCTGTTGATGCTAACCCTATTTGAGCTTCAGTTCTTCTTTAGTATTAGAACACCATTTAAAAAAAGTTAAAAGGTCTTTCATCTTAACCTCTTCCATATAAGTGTTCTAAAAGGAAAAATATCTTAAAATACCACCCACGATGTATATGATACAAATACAATTTTAAAGCGTATAAAATGCATGCCCAAAGTACTAAAATACAGTATTAGAAACATTCAATGTGACAAACTAAAAAGCTACATTGTTTGTGCAATTATGAAATATTCCGACAAATTCATACACAATGCTATAGACTTTTAAACTACGAAGCAAAAGACTTTTTAATGCAACAACATAATCCAGTGTTTCTCTTTAAGTTTTCCCCTGGTTTCAGGTTCATGCAAAACTGCGATTGTTGCAAACAATGGTATGTTCACAAATTATTTATCCTGTACTCACATAAACAACTGCCTACAAGCGACTCCATAAATGCTCCGTTCACAGTTAAGAAAACCTACAGTTTAGCCATATATTTAAAATCTTAAAAGGGATTATTGAAATGTGTAATACGATTATTATTCCGTTTCTGACCAAAGGAAGGGAAGAAAGTTGCTTACCCGGGTCGCCGTGTAAATTGTCTTCTTGAGTACCCCTGGGGGTCAGGGGTGTTTCAGTCGCCCATATCTGTGCCGTCTTCCGTAGTCCCACTATCGTTGCTTCTTGTATAGTAACCTGATGCTTATGTCTCTTTTGAGACTGCGGGGTCGGTGGGCTACTGCTATCAAATGACTGCTGAGAGTTCTGAGAGGGAGAACGACTTTTTTCTCGGAACATACGGCAGGTGGTGGGGCTGGGGGAAACGTGACTCGACTGACCAGACGAAAAATCCTCCTCGCTGGAGGTTAGATTTTCATTGGAACTGCAGTCTGGAGTATAACCCCCACCAACATCATCGGTACTGCCTGGAGAGTAGGACCTCCTGGGCCACGTCAGGTGCTTCTCTTGATCTGCTGTACTCTGGAATCTTCCATAGTCCCTTAACCCGCCACCAACCTTCCCATCGCTGTCCTGCATCATCCCACCAATGTACACACTATCATAAGGTTGGAATTCGTGCTGCCAAGGTATCTTGTCTGATTTGCCCCCATTGGCCGTGGCACGGATCAGATTATCCTTCAGGAACCTGGGATTGAGATCCACATCGTCATACTCTGGGTCATAGCCACAGCTGCTATCGGTGGATCGACCCCTGTATACGGGCTTGCGATAGTCCCCTGTTGAGACATTCCCGGGCAAGGAGTGTAATGACCTCTTGCGCTCCATCTGCATGGCCTGACTCCCAATTGTGCTGATCTTGTCAGATACCTCCTTATCATTCACTTTCACTAAACCTTTCTCATGGTGGTACTCCACATTGACATACAGCGGCTTCTCCATCGCCTTCCCGTCTCCGGCACAATTCGAATTGGTTCTTTTGATCCTTTCAAAATTGGACCTCAAAGCGGCCACGCTTGTGCCGGGAGATTTTTCTTTCTTCTCCGTCTGCTCGGCCTCCTGACTCGTCCCTCTGCCCGCGTCCTTCTCAGCCCCCGCCGCCATCCTCCGTGTGGAGGAGGAGGCCCTCTGCCTGGAAGAAGAACCTTCCAGATCACCCCTGCTGTCCACCATTATCTCCTCGCCAGGCTGTCTCCTCAGCTTCTCCTCCCCGCAGGGTTTTCCTTCTTCCCAGTCTCCCGCGGAGGGGCTGTGCTGGAGCAGAGGCTGCTCGGCCGTGGCTTCCATCAGGACCGACGTCCTGAAGCCCCAGCGCTGCTTGTCATAGCTCTTCTTCTCCTTGGCCAGCAATGTCTGCAGGTAAATCATGCGGAATCTCTCCTTGTTCACCTCCAGCTCCAGCTTTCTGATGCTGCACTTGCATTTCTCCAACTCCTGCTCAATGTCTCCGACGCTCCTCAGCTCCATTTTGGGCGGCTCGGACTCGGGGAACTGCGCCCTCCAGGCTTCCACAAAGCCAACCGGTTCCACCATGTTTTCATGGCACTTTTCCCCTCACAGGCGAAAGACGGGAAGAGACTCCGAACAGCACCGAAAAAATCACTCCGCGACGTCGCCTTCCCTCGCCGTCTGAATCGCTCGGGGCAACTGGATTCTGTGCTGCGCTGCCCGGCGCCCTGTGGCTACCGCTGTGGCTGTGGCCTGTCTTGGCTATCGCTGTCCCTGAGGCTGTGACCAGCGGCTGCGGCCCCTCATGGCTCACGATCGCTGGACAATAAGCTGCGCGCGCGCCCAACTGACGCCGCTCGAGCAGCTGACGCCACCTCTTCCCGCCCTCACCGTCTGCTTAAAGGGGAAAATCTACCAAAGTCACTGGAAACTCAAAGCGAAAGACTCGGAGACGTGTCCGGAACCTCGCCTTTAATGTCTGGAGGGCGGCTCAGTGCTGCAATGTTCGTGTGTTTGTCGGCCAACCTGGTAGGCAATCTGCAGATTGTCATAGCAACCGGACGGAAATTGAAAATTTAAGCTTTCGAGATGTTGTTAGTGATTTATGAATGTATATTATAGATATAAATTGTATTGTGTTAGTGGTTTGCTGAGAAGTGCTTTTAAGTGGATATTTTGTGAGAACATCTGTCTGCAATCGCCTTCCCCTCAGCGAGTCGGGGGGAGGGGGCGCTCACAGTCCAACAGCCACTGACCCACTTACACAAACCACTGAAGGAGACCGTGGAGCTGCAGCTAAAGGAATAATGTCCACCAGATGTGAAAGGCACTACACCAAATGTAAGGAATAGAATCAAATGGAGAAAAGGCAGACTTTATTTTAAAAAAGTTCTCAAACCACTTCACACAGCGAATTGGGAGCCAAAGGTGTGTGTGTGTGACTGAAGGAATAGTTGAAAAAATAGATCTTAAGATGGGTTTTGAAGGGAGGGAGGTGGCAAACCACAGGGACACCGGGATAGGAGTAGAGAGTGGGGCATAATGGCTGAAAACTCACCCACTGATGTCGGGATGAAATAAAACAAGCAGGTGACTGCCAAGTGAAGGGAATGGCCAGAGCAGAGGTAGGGTGGGGCAATCTAGGAAATCCATAAAAGGGGAATGGAGGGATTTTAAAGTGAGGATAAGGATCTCGAATTTGATCCACTGGGGGATGGGGAATCACTGGAAACAAAAGAATGGGGATGATGGAGTCACAGGAGGAGCTGGAGAGTCCAGTCAGCAGGGCATTGGAAACATCAAATCTGGACCTGAAGCCATTGGATGAAGGGTAATATCTAAAAATATAATAAGCCTTGCATTTGATATAGCGGTGTATCACGTCATCAAAACGTCTCAGGAGAGATCATGAGTGGTGGATACAGTAAAAATAATGAGATTGAGTTTTCCCCAACTCCTGCCTGTGCCACCAGATGGGACACAGTAAGGCACAGCTTTCGTTCTAGTTGGACAAGCAACAGGAATCTTGCCATACAATGCTCCCAATGGCAAGCTGTGCAGTTTTAGCTGGTTAAACTCCAGCAGCACACTCTGGGGTCCCCAGGCCTTGGTTCTCGCAAACCTGCACCAAATACACTTTGGAATTAGATAAACAGGGAGAGTGTGCATTCCATTCCACATCCAGCAAGATTTCAGCTATTTATTTTGCATATAGTACAAATGTACAATCAAGGTTATATTAGAGCTAAACACACCACCATTCATGTGTGTTCTAAACATATGGTGACATCTTTCAATCCACCAACGTTCATCTTCAAATTTCAATTTTCATTAACTTCTCCCAAAGAAACCTTTGAATAATGCGCTAAAAGAAACATCAAATAGAAAATGTTTTTGTTGAAGAGACCATTTAATGAACTGAACAACTTTTGCAAAGGGTCGTGGACCCGAAACGTTGACTCACTTTCCTTTCTCCATAGATGCTACCTGACCTGCTGAGTGTTCCCAGCGACTTCTGTTTTTGTGAACAACTTATTGCATCTGTTTTGTCAATTGTTTGGTATGCGCTGATCCCTGTAACTATTAAAGCTGTACTACGCAAAGGTTATTACTGTGAGTGGACACCGTTGATGTACATATTTAGTTGTTTGATGTCGTTTCTGCGTTCATATTCGGGTTCTTCTGATCTCGTTTTCCACGATAGTCAGCCAGGGCAGCTTTAATCGCATCCTCAGCTAGCACTGAAAGAGGCAGAACCGGTCAAGAACATCCAATTTAATTTGAAAACACCTATGCAGGTTGTAACCTCTGAGTAAGAATTTCAGGGTGAAGTACAAAAGCACTAACAAAGTCTATTGAACCACAATTCCAGCAGAGACAATGCCTCACGGCCTTCCCAAATTAATGATTGAGGTGGAGAGCATCTGGAACTAGAGGGGTGGGGAAAGAAACAACTTGCACTTATATTGCACCTTTCACGTGAATGACTGATATCGACAAGTTTAAGGCTATCAAAATCAAACTGCTGAAAGTTCCACATGTGTATGGAAAATCCCCTTTGTCTGAAATTGTGTATGATGTGCACTCAACAACAACTTCCATTTACACAGCAACCCTCACGCAGTGTAGAGTCCCAGAGCACTTTCACCCCAGTGGGTCATACCCTACTCACCTAATCCCAGAAAGTATTATGTACAGGGTAGCAACAGCTGATCTAGTTTTTCACAAATACAAAATAACACAAAAACGGAAAACATACAAACAGAATAAAATGAAAAAAATGTAAACCACAGAAGGCTTGACTGACAGGCCCATCGGAAGAGACACCCCGACGAACAGCCCGCTACACCATAAGTAGGTGGGCACTGGCGAGGAATTGGGAAAGGGGAGGAGCAAGAGGGGCCTGTGGGGTGAGGCTGGAGGAATAATTGTGGTCCTTGGGGTTTCCCCTCCAGCCAGGAACCGTTCAAGGGGTAAGATACTAAGGTAAACAAGATAGAAGCAAGAAATATTTATTTTTTCAAAAATGGGAAACTGACAAAGGGAATTTATATACGGTCAGGTCATTTGAGGTATTTTTGTAAATGCAATAAAAATAAAATATTTTTAATGGATAAAACAAAATAACATGAAATTCTCCAAAAATAAACCAATTATAAAACATAAAAATAATTCAACAGGTCTCCAGCAATAGCCAATGTTTGGAGAATCACATAGGGTGCGCTGGCCAACTGCTGGAGTTGAACCAGCTAAAACCATTACAAACCCTGACAGGTTTACGCAACTTACTCGAGCAATGCAGTTTGACTGGAGGAAGACAAAGCTCCTTAGCAATGTCTGTGTTCCTGATCTTCAAGGCTTCATCGATCTGTAATTGAGATGCTAGGATTTATATCATTATTAATTTCAATAGCTAAAAGAATGCAAATTACCAATGCACATTTGTAAATATCACAAATTGGACTTTATTACTGATATAATAATAATCCTTGCATTTGGTATAACACCTTTTACATTGGGAGGACGTCCCAAAGCACTTCACAGCGTATATCATGAAATGGAATGATTGTGTATTTGTGGGCGAATACAGTAACCAATTTGAATTCACAATTGAATTAATAATTAACAATCCCCCAAATTTTATCAGGATTATTGGCCATGATAATGGAAAATACTCCCTTCTCTTTTTGAATAGTGCCATGGGATCTTTAACATCCATGTAAACAGATAAGACGGGATGCCACCTCTGACGATGCAAAACTTCCCCAACACTGCATTGGAGTGTCAGACTATGTGAGTTTTAAAATCCTGATGTGGGGCTTGAACCTACAACCTTCTGACACAGAGGTGAGAGCACTAGCACAGAGTTAGGCTGACGCTATTTAAATATTGTGAGAACTTCACGACCTGTGATGAGATTTCTGTTGATGACCTGCAACTGTGGGAGCGTGTCAAAGGGACAATCCTATGATTAATTCAATATTTGTTACCGTTTTTCCCTTCACCCATTCTGTAGCCAATGAGCTAGAGGCAATTGCAGATCCACAGCCAAAGGTTTTAAACCTCGCATCAATGATTTTTCCATTTTCATCCACCTGTATCTGTAACAAAGAACAGTAGCTATTCATTGAGCACAGGGAATGCAAAATGTTGCAGGTTTGAGCATCACCAAATCAGATTCTAGCCAAGTAGTGCTAGAGCAAGCCTCAAAACAAGGTCATTTTTTGAGGAGGTGAACTAAACAGAAAGGCATAGAAATAGGTGTCAATGACTTTTTCCTGTTGTAGTCTCCCCTTGTCAAGATTAAAGTTTCCAGATCTCCTCAGTGATAAACTACAATAGGAAATGATAAAGAAAAATTTGGAGCAATTTTTACTCATGCAAGTCCAATAGACTGGCTCTGTTCAAGAGTCCACAAACACGTTGATCTCACAGAGAGCTGGTTGCAGCTAAAGCAGTCCCTTTATGCCAAACATATCTCAAACATTCTATCTCAATTTATAAAATGAACACCAGCAAAGCTCATGCACCATTTAAAAAGTGTTTTGCTCTGCTTTGTTCAGAAAGAACAATAACAAAATTGCATTTGTATAGCGCCTTTCATGTCGGGAGGGCGCTGGACAGACAGAGTTACGGACCTGAGCTAGGGGTTGGGGAGGGTGGAGGGCAGGCGGAAGCAGGGTGATCGAAAGCACAATCAAAAAGGAGGGACTTGAGATGGGTCTTGAAGGAGGCAAGGGAGGGGGCGAGGCGGAGGGACTGCGGGATGGAGTTCCAGAAGGTGGGGGCAGAATGGCAGAAGGCCCGCTAACCAATAGAGAGGCAAGCCAAGTGGGAGATGTGAAGCAGGCCGGACCTGCTGAGTGGAGGGAGTGAGCAGGATGGTAGGGGGTTAGGAGGTCGCAGAGGTATGGGAGAACAAGAACATGGAGGACTTTGAAGGTGAGGACCAGGATCTTGAACTATATCCTCTGTGTGATGGGAAGCCAGTGGAGTCGGCCGAGGATGGGGGTGATAGGGTCACAGAGCCTGGTGTAGGAGAGGACACGGGCTGCAGAGTTCTGGATGAAATGAGATTTAGAGAGAAAAAGATAAATTTACCTGCAGCTTCATGACATCACCACAAGCAGGTGCTCCCACCAAGCCAGTCCCAACATTCCTGGCATTCTTCTCAAATGAGCCAACGTTTCTGGGATTCTCATAGTGGTCCATCACCTTCATTATAGAAAATAATGCACAGTAACTCACGTTACATACAACATGCTAATGTGTCCAATTCTGCCTCTGTTCCTGGTCCCCAGCTTTCACACGTTGGGTTATGGTTGCATGTATGCTGGTTGCCTCTGATACCCCACACAAGTGGCCATTATTTATGTGTGAGTGTTGGCAACTGTTTAGAGTCGGGTATCCAACCAGTCGATTGACGCTATCATTTTTGTTCCTCTCGTCTTTTTGATCATGTACAACAACGCCACCCAGTGGCAATTGACTGATTGGAGACCCCTGGTATTAGAGCATCTCAGATACACCTTGTCTTTCCTCGCCTGACTGTCACAATCATTAGTGCTGCAGAGAGACTAGCAGTGGAAACCTTGACAGGTTTTGGTCTCGAATAACCCTGGGAAGGTTGGGGAAATTTTTTGTGTTACTCCAATGAAGCCCCTGGCTGAGACAATTCTTTCGGTCCTTAAACCGCAGCACAATTCCCAAAATGACTAAATTAAGTCAAACACACAACTAAGAGGACAAGAAATAAGTAACTAGTCATGCCTAAATCCTCACAATCTAACCCTAGTTCATACGATGGCATCCTTATTCCCATATGAAGCCAAGAAATGTACATTAAAGATACCTCGGCACTACAAAACACTTTAAAAGGAAACTCAGAAGCATTTTGAGACATTTAGAGATTTTGCAAAATGATTATTATCCAATTTTTTTTTGGTCAGCTGGGTATCTGACACATGCGGAAACCCAGCACCATGCATATCCAAACCAACTCTGTTTTCATGCATCCCACCTCCATATGCAAATCCCAGAGATAGATTATTGGAACAATAATAGTAATCCTTGCATTTGATGTCGCGCTTTTCATATCTTCTAGATGTCTGAAAGCGCTTCCCAGAATATACTGTAAAGTGAATTGACTGTATATTTTGTGGGCAAAATGCGGCAGCCAATTGCACACAGCAGTGTCCCACAAACAGTTGTTGAATGAAGTGGCCAATTTTATTATTTTTTTTCTTGAGGGATTATTATCAGGCGTGTGGAATAAGGAAACTTGCCCAAGGTTTCGCCCTGCGCGAATCAAACCCGCAAGGCGAGTACTCTAACCACTGAGCTACAGGACTCCTGTGCGAAATCGCACTCTTTCCCTGGAGGGACCCAACCTGCTTACCTAATTCCAGAAAGTGTTAGGCGCAGGTTGGCAAGAGCCAAGGCTTGGAGAGCCCAGAGTGTGCGTTGGGGTAGCTGCTGGAGTCTAATCAGCTATAACCACGTAGATTGCCATCGCTGTCCGGATTTCAATATCAGCTTTCCTGCTGCTTGTCCAGCTAGGACCACCCTACCGATTATGGCTTTGGCTTGCAGGGTTAACAGGAGCAGAGTGGGAGGGTTCCCTGTCCCCAGTGACTGGTCTGCCCTTCCAGCTCCTGCCGATGAGCCAGGCTGGCTGTGCTGTCATCAGCAGTGGCCTGGAATACTGTGGACCTGCCTGGCTATTCTAGTACAGGAGAGGTTCAAACCCAAATACAATTAATTGGTTTAAAAAAAAACATTCCAGCCACAGGAGCACAAGAAGAGCTCTGGCCAATTTTTTTTACACACTAACTAACTGCACAATGCATGTGACTAGTCAGTACCTTTGCTTCCAGCCCCTAACTTTCAAGAGAGAAATGGATAGATATTTGCAGGGCTATGGGGAGATAGCAGGGGGAGTGGGGTTGATCAGGGCTATGGGGAGAGAGTGGGGGAAGTGGGACTGGTTGACAGCTCTTTCAAAGAGCCGACACGGGCCATGATGGGCTGAAGAGCCACCTTCTGTGCTGTATAATTCTATGATTGTAACCTTGAGACGTTTCGAAGACATGAAAAGCGCTATAACAGAGGCAATGATTATTATTATTATTATTACAAGACCGGCCTCGGGGGAGCTCAGTGATACAACAACTAGTATTTACATGTCGCGCCTCAGAGCCACTCAGGCTCAATACCTTGTGGTGATAGGTCACGGCGGGTCCGGGGCCCCACACAGACCGCGGCGCTCGGAGCTCAAGCATCGAAACAAACAGCCGCCTCCGCGCCATCGCTGTGTCGCAGGGTCTGTAACGGCGCCGGAACCGGAACTGACGGACCGGAAGTAGCCGAATTATTGTGCATAGTTTCCAAGATGGCGGCGGCGGCGGCAGGTGGGGAGTTTGAAGGCCCGGAGCCCGAGGAGCCCGGAGCCGAGTCCGAGGAGCAGACCGACGACTCCTCTGGAGATGACAATGAGGCGGAAATCCAGCGGCTGGAGGAGCAGGTGCTGAGGGCAATCTGTATAGGGTGTTCACAAAGTCCTGTTACTCCCTGTTGTTTCTCCAGTTACTGACCAACAACTGACACATGTGGGAGATGATAATAATTGTATTTAGAAGTTACTTCATTGTATTCACTACAACTGTATTTAAATGTCCAGAGGATGGGGTGTGTTGGTGGGCGTCATCGTTTTCATGGCTTTTTCTGTAACATGGATAGAGTGAGGAGGAAATTACTGGAATCAGACATTGTCACACTCGACTCATCTGCAACAGAATTTTTTTTGTAAGATAAAACAATAGGGGTTAACAGGACTTTGTGAACACCCTGTACAAAAATATCCCCAGTAGAGAGTTCGGGTCAGAGGCCAGATTTATTTGGATTGATGGTATAATATCCTGGCATTTGATATAGCCCCTTATCAAGTCTTTGAGACAACAACAACAAAATTGCATTTGTAAAGCACCTTTCATGTCGGGAGGATGTCCCAAGGCACTGAACAGTCAGGGATCAGGACCCGAGTGTGGGGGGCAGGGTTGGGATGAGGAAGGGCAGAGAGGTTAGGGGGGGCAGCTGAAGGCAAAAAGGCAGGCCTTGAGTCGTGCCTTGAAGGAGGTAAGGGAGGAAGCGAGGCAAAGGAATTGTGGGATGGAGTTCCAAAGAGTGGGGGCAGAGAGGCTGAAAGCCTGGCCGCCGATGGTAGAGCTGGTCGGGTAGGAGACCGCAAGCAGGCTGGAGCCTGCTGAGCAGAGGGAGCGGACAGGTTGATAGCGGGTCAGCAGGTCAGAGATGTACGAAGTGGCAAGGCCATGGAAAGTGAGGACGAGGATTCTGAATTCTATCCTCTGAGGGATAGGGGGAGCCAGTGGAGTCGGGCGACGGTGGGAGTGATGGGGTCACGGAGCCTGTTCCGGGAGGGCACATGAGCTGCAGAGTTCTGGATGATCTGCAGCTTGTGAAGGGAAGAGTTGGGGAGGCCGACAAGGAGGGAATTTCCGTAGTCGAGCCTTGAGGTGACGAATGCATTTATGAGGGTTTCAGCGGCCTGAGGGGTGAGACAGTGGCGCAATCGAGCAATGTTGTGGAATTGGGGGAAGGCAGTGCTGGTCATAGCATGGATAACAACAACAACAATACGTTTGTATGGTGCCTTTCATGTTGGGAGGATGACCCAAGGCACTGATAAGGGGGGAAAGGAAAGTTGAGGGTCGAACAAGATGCCCAGGTTCCCAACTGGCTTAGTGTGCCACTGTGGATGTTGATGCTGCCAGTGCCTGAGGTGCTGGTGCGAGCCAATCAGGAGGGCCTCGGTCTTGCTGACATTCAGCTGTAGAAAGTTGGCTCTCATCCAGGACTTGATGTCAGACAGACAGTCCGTCAGGACGTCAATTGTCCTGGAATCGAGGGTGGAGGCGGCAAGATAGAGTTGGGTGTCATCCGCGTACATTTGGAAGTTGACCCCATGTCTGCTGATGATGTCACGAAGGGGGAGCATGTAGAGATTGAAGTGGAGGGGACCGAGGACAGAGCAGTGAGGAACACCGCATGAGATTGTGCGGAGGCTGGAAGAGAAACCATTGGCGGAGACAAATTGGAGACGGTGTGAGAGATAAGACCTGAACCATTCAAGGACAGAACCTTGAAAGTTGAGGTGAGAGGAGAGGTGGTGGAGGAAGATGAAGTGTCCACAGTATCGAACGCAGCCGAGAGGACGAGGAGGCAGAGGGAGCCCTGGTCACAGATGGACAAAATGTAAATTTGTCACCTTGACCAGAGCATTTTCCATGCTGTGAGCAGCATGGAAACCCGATTGGAGGGGCTCGTGAAGGGAGTGGTAGGAGAGGAATGAGCGAAGCTGGCAAGCAACGACTCTTTCAAGGACCTTCGAAAGAAAAGGCAGGTTGGAAGGGGGCTGGGGGTTAGAAGGCAGGGACGGGTTCAGGGAAGGATTTTTCGGAATGGGGGTGATTGTAGCTGTTTTTAGGGGGATGGGAACAGTGCCAGATGAAAGGGAGAGATCGATGGTGTCAGAGAGTAGAGGGGAAAGAAGGTGGAGCTAAGAGGTAAGGAGAGAGGTGGGGATGGGGTCAAGGGAGCGGGTGGTGTGTTTCATGCTGCAGATGGTGGTGGTGAGAGAGGAGGGGGAGACAGGTTTGAAAATGTGGAAGGAGGGAGGGATGGGTTGGGGCGAATGAGAGGGAGTGGTGGTTGGGAGGGCAGAGGCAGCCGAATGGATCCCCTCAATTTTGGACTTGAAGAAATCCAGCATCTCTTGAGGAGAGAATGGGCGAGGCATAGGAGGGTGGAGAGAGAGCCGGTTGGTGGGACCTTCCAAAGCACTTTACAGAATATACTGTAAAGTGAATTAATTTTTTTCAATGAAATGTGTGAATGAGCATCCTCAACAAATTTTAAAGCACTACAGGTTATTTGCCCATTTCCTTTTACAATTATCTAAAAAAAAGCATTTGTTGTAATATGTTTGTTTCTGTCAAAACGTACTAAGTCCTCAGCTCCAGTGTGAAAGATTAACCATTTTCCACGTGATCAGACTGAGATCAGACTACACATCTCTTCAGGGCTCAACAATCTCTATTTTATTAGCTGAGGAAAATAGTTTAAAGATAATAAAATAGCTATTTTTGATTTAAAAGTAACCACTTTTACTGTAAGATGCGAACAAGACATCATGTAAATGAAATGTGATGCTGGGCACAGCCCAGACAGCAGCAATGACTTGTACTGTAATTTTAGCTTTCCATCAGTGCCTATGACTATAACTGTCACGTGGATCTGATTAAGTTGCTGCAGCAGGAGGGGGACCTGGTGAAACTACGATGTGCTCGACAGAAAATGAGTGATCTTTTTCCCCTGACTGAAGGTAAGATCACAACCATCAATAGTAAAAGCATAATCAAAGTAGGTAGGGCTGCTAAAAAGAAGAAAAAGTTGAGTTTGTCATAGAGAGTAAGTCAATAGCAAAGATACAAAGTACAGTAGAGCCCAATTTCAACACTACTGTATTTGGGATCATGCTCTTTTTGGATATAGAGAGGGTATGCATATGAGGGCATAACACTAAGTACATTTTCACTCTGTACACAGTGCAGACCCACCACCTGCTCCTTTGACCCCATCCCCACTCCACTCTTTATCTCCCAGCTCCACCTCCTTGCCCCACATATCACAGACATCGTCAACCTGTCCCTCTCCTCTGGCTCTGTTCCCATTCCCTTAAAAACTGCCACCGTCACTCCCACCTTGAAAAAACCCTCCCTTGATGCGTCTCAGCTATCAAGCTACCGGCCCATCTCCAACCTCCTCTTCCTGTCCAAGGTCCTTGAACGAGTTGTCGCCTCCCAGCTGCGCTCTTTCCTCTCTACCCATTCATTATTCGAACCCCTTCAGTCGGGTTTCCGTGCTGCCCATAGCACAGAAACTGCCCTGGTCAAGGTCACCAATGACATCCTGACCATCTGCGACCAGGGCTCCCTCTGCCTCCTCGTCCTCCTCGACCTATCGGCAGCATTCGATACGGTCGACCACGCTATCCTACTCCACCGCTTGTCCTCCCACCTCAACCTTCAAGGCCCTGTCCTTGAGTGGTTTAGGTCGTACCTCTCCCACCGTCTTCACTTTGTTTCCACGAACGGCTTTTCCTCCAGCCCCCGCACTGTCTCGTGTGGTGTCCCTCAGGGCTCTGTCCTCGGTCCCCTCCTCTTCACCCTCTATATGCTCCCCTTGGTGACATCATCCGCAGACATGGGGTTAACTTCCACATGTATGCGGATGACACCTAACTCTACCTTTCCTCCTCTACCCTCAACTCCACGACCACCGATGTCCTGACAGCTGTCTGTCCGACATCGAGTCCTGGACGAGAGACAACTTTCTTCAGCTCAACTTGCGTAAAACTGAGGCCCTCCTGATTGGCTCACGTCAGCGCCTCCGCATCTCTGGCGCTGACAGCATCAGCATCCAAGGCTGCACTCTCCACCTCTCAAACCTAGTCAGGAACCTCCGTGTTCTGTTCGACCCTGAGCTGTCTTTTCTCCCTCATATCCGCGCCACAACTGGCACCGCCTTCCATCTCCTCTGGAATATCGCCAGACTACGGCACTACCTCTACCTCACCCCTCACGCTGCTGAAACACTGGTCCACGCCTTTATCACCTCATGGCTGGACTATGGGAACTCTCTCCTCGCCGGCCTTCCTGGCACCTCCCTCCACACTGCAGGTCATTCAGAACTCTGCAGCTCGTGTACTGTCCCGCACCAGGCTTCACGAACACATCACTCCCACCCTCGCTCGCCTCCACTGGCTCCCCATCCCCCAGAGGATTGATTTCAAGATCCTCATCCTCACCTACAAGGCCATTCACGGCCTTGCTCCCTCCTACCTCTCTGACCTACTATCCCCCTACCTACCTGCTCGTACCCTCCGTTCCTCTGCCTCCGGTCTGCTCCACATCCCCCGCCCCAACCGCCCTACCATCGGTGGCCGAGCCTTCAGCCTCTCAGCCCCTCGGCTCTGGAACGCTATCCCCCAGTGCTTTCGTCGCTTCCTCCCTTTCCTCCTTCAAGGCCGGTCTCAAGACCTTTCTCTTTGACCATACCTTCAGCTCCCCTCTCGGCTCTCTACCCCCTCCTTGCTCCCTCCCTTCCCTACCCTCACCCTGACCATTTCCCCCCAAGGCTCGGGTCCTGACCCAACTGTACAGCGCCTTGGGACGTCCTCCCGACGTGAAAGGCGCTCTATAAATGGAATCTTGCTGTTGTTGTTGTTGCTCAGTCCGTGACTCACTTTCTCTGTCTCTGTTAACTATCTGACTGTATGTATATCTTGGTTTCTCTCTGAGTCAATGTGACTTTTTCTCCCTCTCTTTGACACAATCAGGAAAAATTCTTATCACTGGTTACAGTGCACCCAATTACATTATTCTGCAAAATTTCACTCTACTTTACCTCTGAGATTTCTGTACCACTGCTGAAAAGTATACACAGTTATTATGCAGATATGTGATACTCTGCTGTAAGATTTTTGCTTCAGATTTCACAGAACACAAATATATTGGGAATGTAGAGTAGTTAATTAATGGGGCTTTGTATTCAAAGATAAATGGTACTAATATTGGGTGTTGGCCTGGCTCAGATGGTAGCAGTCTTACCTCTTAGTCAGAAGGTTGTGAATTTAAGTCCCAATATCAGGACTTTGAACTGATATAGTCTAAGATGACACTGGAATTCATTGTTGGATTTTTAAAGGTGCTATTCTTTGAATTAGATGTTAAACTGAGGTCCTGGTCTACCTGTTCAGGTGGATGTCAAAGATATCATGGCACTATCGGGAAAGAGAAAAGAGTTTCTCCCGGTATTCTGGCCAAAGATCCCACAAATAAAATTGGTTATTCATTTGTGGGACATTTCTGCTTTTGCCTACAACATACACAGTCACTAGCTACACTTAATAATTAAATCCCGTGAAACCCTCCTGGCGCGAAAGGTGCCAGGATAATTATTCTCATTGGTCCTGTATTCAGATGTTGCAATTTTGTAGATTTTCCTAGGTGAAAATTGGTAATTTAGGCGCCAGCATTCTACATTGAGAGAACATGGTCATGTCCCTGAATAAAGCTGCCAATTGATCTGGTTTTATTGCAGAGCTCTGGCTGGATTGGCTCAAGGATGAGATTCGAATGGCAATAGAAAAACCTGACATGGAAAAGGCTTATCAGTTGTTTAAGAAGTCTGTGAAAGACTATATCTGTAAGTATTTTATTACTTAGATTTTTATTCTGAATCAATATTGCGAAACCACAAATTCTATTAGTTATGGAGGATAAGCCTACACAATTGTTGTTATCATTGTTGCCACTAATGGACTCAGCTCCTATCTGCTTGTTGAAATTAAGTTGTGGAGACCAGAATGCTTTTGTGTGGCTGTGAATGGGTGAAGATGAGGATCATTTCCCAGATACAGTAAAGCATTTGAAATTTCACCGAAGTTGTCCCATTGGCCAGGACATCAAGCTTGTCCTTTTTAATTAATCTCAGTCCCAGCTAATTGCCTTCTCATCATATCCCATGCCCACTCTCTGTCTGGAGATATTTATTTGTGACTTGAACTCAATTATATATTTATTTCAGTATCTTGCCTGCTAATTTATTCAATAAATCTATTAGCCTCTTGTTTTGTTATAAAAGAGTTCTGCTTGACTTCTTAACTTGAAACTTGCCACTTTGTAATCTTGAAGCATTCAATTTGGCCACACCTTGAAGTCTTCTCTTTGCTAAAGATCAGTTATCTCATCCTCTCCAGCGCTTCGAGATGCTACCCTCATAAAAGAAACTATATAAAAATGCACATTGTTGTTTTCTCATAAGTGAATTCTATATTTCTAGATTTGCTCACTGCTAGATGACAATATTTCCCTTTGGTAAAGAACTAAAGTGCATTGGAAGGCAGTTCAGAAAATTCGAATCTGCAGCCTCTCACCGGCAAATCTCTCTGACAAATGTATTTTCTCACAATGTAAAGTTTTCCCTCATAAAATGTGCAAATATGTACATATAAAATTTTAAATCTGTATTTAATTCACATTGCAAGTGGTTAGAGCACTCACCTCGCAAGCGAGAGCCCTGGGTTCGACTTCCGGCAGGGTGAAACGTTGGGCAAGTTTCGTTACTCCACATGCCTCTGTTTACCAGCAGTACGTAGGAACCCAGTTGTTAGTCGATTGGCGGATCACTTTCCGGGGGTAATAATTCCTTCAAAATAGATTTTAAAAATTTAATCGCTCACTCAATCCACGACTGTTTGTGGGAACGCTGCTGTGGGCAATTGGCTGCTGCGTTTTGCCCACAAAATATACAGTGGATTCACTTTACAGTGTGTCCTGTGAAGCACTTTGAGTCGTCTCAAAACCGTGATTAGGCGCCGGGTCAAATGCCAGGATTGTTATATAACAGCACATACGGTGTCGGTACAGACTGCTCTGGATACTTCGCATCCTTTACATTTTTGTTTCCTTCGATACATTTAGTCATCAGTGACCGTCTGCCCAAGAGGCTGTTTCCAGCCAATGAGAATGGGATTTAATGGAACCATTACGTATTGAAGTAAGATGTCATGCTTGGCACATTGCAGTTGCTAAAAGGACTCAATAACTACTGGAGTAGATTCATCACAAATTCTATTTGTGATTGGAAAACTTTCCAGAGGGTGAAAAATGGTTAACATCTAAGGCTACATTGTAGAGAGTTCTGTTTAATTCTGTTTTGTCAATCTGCTAACTGATTGATTTAAATCCAGGTCCTGAAATATGGCTGGAATATGCCCAGTATTCCATCGGCGGGATAGGGGAGCAAGGTGGTATTGACCAAGCTCGTGGAATATTTGAACAAGCGTTAACTGCTGTCGGATTACACATGACGAGAGGAACTGCAATCTGGGAGGCCTTTAGAGAGTTTGAAAATGCTATTTTAGGAACGTTGCAGGTAAGAGAACTATATACCACATTGCTAAAAAGGGGGATGTAGCGATATTGTCCATTGATAAAGGAAATATTAGCATTTCTTTCAAGAGAGTAATCATAATAGAACAGAGATAAATCACAGGAAAGGTTGGGATGAACCTATAAACCATTAATCTTATCCATTCAGAATACACAGCCTACTGTCTTTGTATTGCAGCATCAATCTGTTTTTTTTAATGAGCCCATGAACCTGGACTGAACCAGGTTGCTTTGGAAAGCTCTGGGTGAGTTTAAGAGAATATTCTTGTGATGTCAGGTCAGTCCATCAATTTCAAATAAACAGATTAACAAAGCTTCTCTTTTCTTCCCACTAGCCACCAGCTGGCAGTGTTATACCTCTTGAACAGCAGGAAATGATAAATGCACAACTTCACCGAATCCATACACTGTTCAAGAGACAGCTGGCTGTCCCCTTGCTTGGTAAGATGGTTTGAAATGACAAGAGGTAAACCAAGTGGAATCTAATGCCGACATTGTAGCTCTATTTGGTGGTGGGTAAATAACAATTTGACTACTGAGGATTACAATAGGCAATGATCCCTTATTATCCCAAATTGCAGCATGTGTCCTTTCCCGCACCAGACTGGTTCTCCATCCCAGAGTCTCTCTGTCCTGCGCCCACCTTCCTACGTTTAAAACCCATCTTAAGATCTTATCTTTTCGATTGTGATTTCAGTCACCTTTCCCAACCCTTCAGATCCCAGTCAGCTGTGTAAAGTGCTTTGAGACGTTGTCTCAACATGAAAGACGCAACATAAATGTAAGGTGTTATTCTTCTCCTGGCTGAAGGAGTCAACGCATCGACAGAAATATAACATGTATAAAACTGGAGAAATTTAACTAATTGCAAGTAACTGTAACAGTACCGTCAGAATGTCTGCTCCATAAAATTAGCTCAGATACTTTAATAAGTGGTGATTTTGCTCTGTACAGATATGGAAGCTACATTTGTGGAGTATGAAGCGTGGTCTGAGGAGCCTCTTGAAGCATCTGTGATTCAGCAGTATAAGAAGGCCCTGCAACAGATGGAGAGATATAAACCCTATGAAGAAGCTCTGGTACAATCTAACCTCTGTACTGTAGCAATGGAGTTTTGCCTCCTAAATTTATATGATTCTGTGTGACAGATGTGTCGAAGGAAGCTTTTGGAAAGTTGGATGGTTAGCGAGATGCATCAAAGGTCCACTACTACCTGAATCTGATTAATATCCCAATTCTGTTTTTTTGGGGTGTTACAATTGAGTAGCTCTTTCAGAATTTTCCGTATTTTAAAATATGTTCACAGTTCAGCAGCAGCTGAACATCCTCTGTCCTAATCCTAAAAACCTTTCATTATCGCTTTACTATACAGCCACCACATAATCCTCCATATTCATAACATTAAAAGTAACTTAATTTTAGTTCTTTTTTTTTCTCAAAATATAGCCTGTCTTAAAAATATTCCATTTTAAATATGATGTTGCAGCTGGTAGCAGAGCCACCCAAGTTGGCAGAATACCAGTTTTATATTGACTTTGAGATGAAGACGGGAGATCCAGCACGGATTCAAATCATATTTGAACGAGCACTGGCAGAGAACTGTCTTGTACCGGACTTATGGACACGTTTTACTCTGTATTTGGTAAGGAATTTCCCGCCTGAAAAAGCCTGCCTAGGTGTAACTGTTCATTTCTCACTACACTTGAGACAGTTCTTAGGAAATTTTCTCATCAACTAAGCAGACAATTGGCTGAACGATGATGGGAAGCAAATGTGAAGGGCTGTTAAGAGTCTCCGTCTCATTAGATTTATGATTTAAAATTTTCCCCTTCTCTGAATTAATTCTGTCAGATAAAATTATAAACTAGCAGCAATCCTTCCCAGTGGTGATCTGCTGTGTGCACCGTGAAGACCTCTTCTACTCCTGTGGTAGCTGTAGAAAGATCCAGTTATATTACAGCATTGGATCTATGTTCACAAAAGGTGCTCACCTGCTATTCTTAAGATGTAGCAATTTTTGAAGAGCAACATAAAAACAGGATTGAGCTGAGAAATAGCAAGGGATTCATCATATCACTGACAGTATATTATAAACCAAATAGAATAGATTCTGAGTTTTAAGTATTTGAAGGCAATACAAGAGGGTGTGAGACAAAGGAAGGTCCAGAGAGTGGGAGCATAGTAGCTGAAAGATTAACCATCGAAGGAAGATCAGAGGGGGAGACAAACATGCAGCTGACCTCGGTTCTAGAAGCGGAGAACTGAACAAAACTGGGTGAAGGAGATTGCTGTGGTGTTGTCAGGACAGGGAGGGATTTGAGGGTCAGCATGAAGATCTTGAAGTCAATCTGCTGGGAGATGGAGAGCCAGTGGAGCTTGGCAACGTTGGGGGTAATGGGCAGATGGAGTGTAGTACATGATGTGAAAACTTCATGAAGGCTAGGCCATTTGTTTGATTCACAATGTGGTTGTATAATCCAGGGAAAATATTTTTAGCATTTGCATTGGCTTTTCAAGGATAAACAGTTGAAGATTAAAGACTTGGTTCTATCTGCTTATGAGCGAGCTGTTCGAAATTGCCCTTGGACACTTGGGTTGTGGAAAAATTACCTTCTAGCATTGGAAAGACATGGAGCTGCACATAAGACCGTAATAGGTAAGCCTTATAGAGAAAACAGTGTGCATATTTCATTTGGCATAAGTTTACAAGGTTACCTTTGAAGAGATGGGAAAAGAATTTACTAAAATAAGAAGGGAGAATTATGAGTTGGTAAATTAATTGACAAGAAGACAGAACTATTCAACAGGTAATTAGTTCATTGCAAAAAACGTATGTAGGGTAAAACTCTATCCATGTTGTATTTGAAAGTTTCCCACTGTTTATCCACTGTCTTATGTGCCAGTTACAAAAGTTGTAAACAGCTAGCCCACAACAATCAAGGAATAAAAATCTTCCATCACAAAAAAGTTCCATCATGCATCAGTTCCTATCTGACTTTGAGATTCTGCCATGATATTTAATTGAGTTATGAAGTTCCAGGTGATTCACAAAGTAATATTTTATTCTAATTGGTAGATACTTTTGAAAAGGCATTGAATGCTGGGTTCATCCAGGCCCTGGACTATGTGGAACTTTGGCAAGCGTACCTTGACTACCTGAGGCGTAGAGTCAATTTCAGCCAAGGTACGAAATAGTGGTGGCTGTTCATTTCACCTCTTCAATCGGGGAATGGTGATAAAGCATAAATATTCACATTGCATACTTTTGCTTTGGATAGATTCCAGTGAGGAACTAGAGGAGCTCCGATCTGCTTTCACTCGTGGACTAGACTACTTGAAACAGGACGTAGAGCAACGTAAGTTTTTCTATTTAAAAGTGCATTACTGCCAAGGATTATATACTATTTCTGGGTAACTGAGGAGCAGTTATTTCTATTGGAAGGTGATTTGGACTCTATAGACATACAGACTTCAGATGAGCACCAGGCAGGCTGGAGCTCAGAGTAGCAACTTGTTCTGAAAATATATTAAACTGCCATATATTTTGGGATGTTCCATTCTAAAGCAGTGCACCCTTTACGTAACTGTGGTTGTTTGCTTGCTATCAGATCTTATTGCTAATAATTGGGTGAGCCACCGTTCATTGATGGCATGGATTCCCAAGCCACAGCACCACCTTAGCCACAGAGAAAGTTACAGTAATCAAGGCTTTCACAGATGAAGATCACAATAAATTAAAGAACCCGGGAAAAGTCGAGGAAAGGAGAAGTCCATCTGGGTGTTAACTAACCCGAAAAGTACAATAACTATTCATGGCGTCTGATTTATATTAAACCTTTAACCTATTAAAACAAAAATTCTTGGTCTTTTTTAGGATTCAGTGAAAGTGGGGATCCTTCATGTACCATCTTACAGAATTGGGCGCGGATTGAGGTAAGACTCAAACCCACTGGTTTCTGTTTGCAAATAGAATATCAATGAAGCTAATGTCAAAAGAAGAGAGGAAATTGTAAAAATTACAAGATCTCCAATCAAGCAAAGTGAGAGCAAATATTCCTAACCGTGGATCCAAATTGTTTTACAACATCTATATTTTAGGCTGGACGCTGCAATAACGTGCAGAAAGCTCGGGAACTCTGGGACAGTATAATGACCAAAGGGAATGCCAAGTACGCCAACATGTGGTTGGAGTATTACAACCTGGAGCGGTAAGAGCATCGACCATTATTCCTCAACTCCTGGAGGCACTAATTCTTGGTGAGACGGGCCTGGCTCAAGCCTGTTCTGCCATTTAATTAGATCATGGCTGATCTGTACCTCAACTAATCCTTTCAATTCCAATTTCCTGCTTTCTCCCCATATCCCTTAATACCCTGACCTACCAAAAATCTGTCAACCTCACTCTTCAAGTTGTGGATGGATCCAGCATCCACAGCCTTTTGGGGGAGAGAATTCCAGATTTCGACCACCCTTTGGGTGAAAAAATGCTTCCTGATTTCACTCTTAAATGGCCTGGTTCTAATTTTAAGACTATACCCCCTTGTTTTGGATTTCCCCACCAGAGGAAATAGCGTCTCTGTATCTAGACTGTCAGATCCCTTTATCATCATAAATACCTCAATCAAATCACCCCTCAACCATCTAAACTCAAGGGAGCACAATCCAAGTTTACTCAGCGTTTCCTCATAACTTAACCTTTTTAGCTTGCTCATAAGCTGAAGCATCATTTCTTCCCTTTGTATTCCAGGCCCTCGAGATAAAGGCCAACATTCCATTTGCCTTTTTGATTATTTTTTGCACCTGGAAACTAATTTTTAGTGATTTGTGGATATGGACATCCAAATCTCTTTGCTCCTCCACAGTTCTTAATTCTTCCCCATCAAGAAAATATTCTGCTTTATCTTTTTTGGGTCCATAGTGGATGACCTCACACTTCCCTACATCGAACTATTTGTAGGAAAATATGGCAGCCAATTTGTGCACGGCGATGTCCCACAAACAGCCATAAATCAATGACTAATTTTATTTAGGGGTTATTGGCCATGACACTGGGAGAAACTCCCTTCTCTTTTCGAATAGTGCTGCAGGATCTTTAACATCCACCTGAACAGGCAGAAATTTCAGTCTCTTTGGGGTGGTTTTGTAAGTCTTGCCTATGCTCACAAGAATAGCACAACTGTCAAGAATTGGAAGTATGGAACATGCACTCCATTACACGCATCAGAATTGACAGAAGCCTGTGTTGTGCCTTATTTTCTGGACAGGAATAAAATACTGTTTATATTTGGTTGTGATACAGAGCTTACGGTGACCCTCAGCACTGCAGAAAGGCATTGCTTCGGGCAGTACAGTGTACTACTGATTACCCTGAACATGTTTGTGACGTATTGCTCAACTTTGAGAGGATGGAAGGTAAGTGGTTGGGTAACCCACAAAGTGTTCATTAAATAAGGAGTAATCAATTGCACTGGATTACGTATTATTGGGCAAACTGATTATAGAGTCCCTCAATGTTACAGCCTATAAAGAGACCATTTGTCCCATCAAGTCTGCACTAGGGCTGTTCTCCATGCCAAACATAATCTAATCCTATGCTGTCGCTCAATATCCAGACCCATTCATATTCCCCTTTGTTCAACTAATTTATTTTTAAAAGAAGCTATGAATGCTACATCAGCAACAGTTTGTGGCAGAGAATTATACATTCTAATCCCTTATGTAAAGCTTTTTTTCCAGCTTCTCTTTCAAGTTTTTTGTGATTATCTTGCAAACGTCTTAGCAAGTGAGTTTCAGGAGTTAGATACTATATGAAAGAGCAGGCCTCAGGGGTAGTAATCTCAGGATTACTCCTGGTAACACATTATGCTAGTCCACAATACCAAGAATGCCGTAGTCAAAGCCACCAATGGCATTTTCACTATCTGATGAGGACTCTCTCAGGCTCCTTGTTCTTGTTGACCTCTATGCCGCCTTCGACACTGTCAACCATTCTATCCTTCTCCATCAGCTTTCCTCTCAGCTCCACTTTCATGGTTCTGCCTTACCTATCCTGATGTCTCCACTCCATGTCTAATAGCTGCTTCTCCTCCCAACCTCCCATTATCTTGTGCAGCATTCCTCAGGAGTTCTATCCTTGGTCCTGTTTAAAGATTGATATAGAGCTGAGAGTAAAAGAAAACATTAAGATTATGCATTTATTTAGTTAAAGCAAAATTGCAATTTCAGCCTTTTTAATATTGAACTATCATGCAATTTCAACTACTTATTAAGTGTGACTTTGGAAACCTTTTTTCCCTCCTTTCAGGTTCTTTGGAAGACTGGGACTTAGCTGCAGAGAAAACTGAGGCCAAACTGAATCGAGTTAATGAGCAAAGAGCCAAGGCAAGATTCCAACCATCCACGTTTTTTACCTATGGGAGAAACTCAAGACACAAAGAGTCTAATGTGGGGAGAGGGAGGGTGAGAATGGGTAGCGTAGGTGATGTGTTCCGAGAGAATGGCAGTGTATATGTTTGTGTATGTAAATGCGCGGGTAGATAGGCTACAGTCTTTTCCCCGCGAGCAGGTAGTGGTACACAGGAATGCTTACACATTACTCAGTTTCTCATCTTTTATTTAATCCCAGATAAAATTTCATATTTGAGAGCATTGTGTGGTGTTTACTGCACAAACTGTGGCCATTGCAGCTGCAGTGGGACTCATGAACCATAGAAATTTACTGAAGGCCATTCAGCCCATCGTGTCTGCAATCCAATTTACAGTCCTTTCAGTCTCATTTACCCAAATGACCATATTTTTCAGTCCCATTTACCCTAATGACCCTAACTCATTAACCCTAATGAGTGAAAGTTGTGGACAAAACTATAACCTGGAAAGTTAACTCATTGGATTTGCTTCTCAAGTCCAGTTGTGTCGGTGGGCTTGCACCAGGAGGTTTAGAATATCTACTAATCTCCTGTTTTGCTAAAGCATTGAATGCAAAATGTTCAGGCTGCTTGGCTTGGCTGTAACTAACATTTAAACCCTCTTTGTGTTATATCTTTAATTGTGTAAGTAAACAGAGTGTGCAAATTGAAAATATAATTTTGTACTATTGATTGAAAAATCTGTTCGCTGTGAATCTTGAGTAATTTGGTTGAACGGATTTTTTTTATTTCAGGCTGCAGCAAAGGAAGCACTGATAGCTCAGCAGGAAGAGGAGAGAAATGTCGACCGGAGGAAGAGTAGGGCTGAGAAGAAAGCTGCTAAAAAGGCCCAGAAACAGACATTGTCTGGAGAGAAACGCAAAGCAGAGAATGAGGAATGGGGTGAAGAATTCGGTAACTATTCCAACAGCAAACGAGCATTTATTCATATTGTTGAAATTGTATCTGCCATAGTAACGAGATGGAAATTTGGAAAGTGACCAGGAGAAAAAACAAAAATGCTTTGTTTATGTTCTCATTTCTTGGAGCAGCGCTAATCTGTGTTTTAAATATGCCGCCCAGCTTCAGGGCTTATGCTAAATGGTGATGAACAGCCTTGAGGGTGCAGTACAGTTTTACCCTCACCCCATTATTGTTCCAGGTTTACTTTCTCAATCCCATTTTATATCTGATATGGTTCCATAAGGTTCTATCAGAAATATCCCATCTGTGTCTGAAAGTTCCAAACCTACAGTACTTGGTTGTTCATAGCTCATCCCTCGAACACGATTAGTTCTGAGGTTTGGCTGCCCCTTGTGCTGTGGCACCAAATCTCCACATGGACACGTTACAGCCATGAAATTGTTTATTGTTTTCTTTCCTTTACCTTTGGAATTCAAAAATTATTTAATTCTGTTTGCCTTCGTTGCTGCTTCAGGTCAGTAAAGCATTTTTAACATTTCACTCGATTCATGGGGGAGGCTGTAAATGATTCATCTTTGACTTCTAGATCAGCCAAGTAAGAAAACTCGAGCTAATGACACAGAGGAAGTGGAGGAAGACATGGAAACGGAGAGTGGAATTCACGGTCATAGAACAATTAAAAAGATTTTAGAGACTCCGGCATCTCAAAAACAAAAAGCAGTAGCTGCTTCCAGAAACGTTCAAAAAGTCCTTCATGATAAGAGCAAGGATAAGTACACCGTGTTTGTCAGCAACCTCTCATACTCTATTCACAACCCTGAAGACAGATTAAAAGAGGTATTTGCTAGCATTGGCCAGATTGCAGAGGTCCGCCCCGTTTACAGCAATAAAGGCCATTTCCGAGGCTATTGTTACGTAGAATTCAGTGAGGAGAAGGAAGTTGCAGATGCTTTGCGGCTAGACCGTGAGCTGGTGGAAGGTCGCCCAATGTTCGTTTCACCTTGTGTTGACAAAACTAAAAATCCAGAATTTAAGGTAATCATTTTTCTTTCATTGGTTATTTTTGCTATTTGCGTCAAGTGATTTGAGACATGCTCCCAATGTAAAAGGCACAATGTAAATTGTAATGTATAGCTTTGGCTCCAGCCTATATCAATTGCAGCACCATTCTATAATATTCTTCAGTCAATATTCCAATCTTTCTTTTTCAGAGGTTTAAAAGTGAGAGTAAAGGCGAAGTTGTCCTATAATAACAACAACAAATTACACTTGTACAGAGTCCTTCAGGTCTGAAAGACGTCCCAGGGCGCTGGTCCTAGGAAAGGACATGGGAAAATTTAACTCCATATGGATTGAGTAAGATGGTCTCAGTCAACTAGTTTTAACTAGTTCCATGACTAATCTTAACTGATAAGTACTTGCCCCAGTGTCACAATATAAATTTAAAGGAAGAAATTATGATATTGGAATTAAATGACGTTGGGGCAATTCAAAGGGTAAAAAAACACTAAGTTACCAAATAAGACTATTAAAAGCAAATAACAAATGAGTTGAAGAGGCTACGGCCTCGTTTCTGGAGAAAGATGCTTTTAGGGATACGGTGTGAATGTGGGTGATGTTAACTTAATAGGTTTGTAGTACCAATTTTCTATTTGATTTCTACTTGTGTTTATCAGTTAATTTACTGGATTAGGTAAAATACAGAGCATTTCATCAGAATTTTGATATGTTACAAATCATAACTGCAGAAATGATAGGCTTTTATGCCCCGCAGGTCTTCAAATACAGTACTAGCTTGGAGAAGCACAAGCTATTTGTGTCGGGTTTGCCCTTCTCCTGTACCAAAGAGGAACTAGAAGAGCTTTGTAAAGAGCATGGAATCCTGAAACAGATCCGTTTAGTCACAAACCGGGCTGGAAAGCCAAAGGTATGTCTTTGTACACTTCTGTGCCCAGGTGAGGAATAAACATGCTTTGTGGTGGAATGGATGTAGACAAGATTTGCTTACGGGTATCACGTATCTTTGAAAATTAACTGGCTACTTCAGTTACATGGCTGAACTTAACAAACAGCTAGAAACACTGCAAAGGAATGAGGGGTAAATTATTTTGAGCACAGGCTCTCCAGGTGGGTTTGCTAGAGGAGGAAGGCGACAAGAAAGACCTATGAGTTGAGTAACACGAGGCAAGAAGGAGACAAAAACCCACCGTATCAAGGTGAGGAGGGAAGCATTGGCACCAGTAAGACCCAACATAACCCAAGGGGAAGTAAGGGCAAAAGCAATGGCTGAAACTTGTGGGGGGTTGGCTATGATTCGGGGGAATAAACAACGAGGCTTGCAAGCGTGTCCTAGAATCTCTTGTATTTGTACGAGTTCCTCCCATTGGCAGGTGAGGATTTACAGTAAGTCACTAAGAATATGCTAGTGGTTAGGATCCTGGTCACAACCAAAGATCTAGGGGAAAAAAGCCTACGATCTTCGGTCGGGAACTCATAGAGGTAGGGAAGAAATTAGAAAGTGCAATATCAAAATATTCAAAAGGACTAATATCTTGCTCACAAGCTGGGTCTGAAAACCTGAGATGAATGCACCAAGTGAATAGATGACTGCAGAGTTGGTGTTAGAAGGATTTACATTTCTAGATTGTTGAGTCAGGGAATGGTGGTACACATGGAATAAACAGCAAAATGTAAGGGCAATGTTGATATTTCAGGTGTAATCTCTGAGTGAAAATGAGAAACGGGAAAAGTGAGTTTTCTATAGATCTCCAGATTGTAGTAAAATGAGTGAACATCTTGGAAATAATGACTCTATTATGACGAAATGAAATATAAAGTTGGGAGGGGATAAGAGTCCACCACAAAGCGATGTTGGCTGGACGTCGTCAGTATTGATCTGGAGTACCGCAGACCTGTCACAGGAACAGGATGAATGTTTCAGCCAGGTTTGCATCCAGCATCTCACAAATGGAATTAATTATTCCATAACTTAATAACCAACAAATTAAGGAAATGTTATTAAAATGTTTTTTTTTCAGGGTCTAGCGTACATTGAATATGAGAATGAAGCCCAAGCCTCACAGGCTGTTCTCAAGATGGATGGAATGATGATTAAAGATCATGTGATCAGTGTTGCTATCAGTAACCCTCCCCAGAGGAAGCCAGGAGATAGCATGGAGACCAGTAGTTTGGTAACTCGGCAGATGTATGGAGCGTAAGTTCTCATTACAGTGTTTTACGTATTGTCTTTCCCTGACTTGTGGATCAGATTCCAAACGCCTTGTCAATATTACTCTCTGCTCTCTGAACAAGAACATCTTGAAATAACTTGCGGAACATTTTCCCTTCCATGGGAAGCAGTTCCCCCAATAAGTTCTGAAATAATATTACTGGATAGTTATTTGTTGTATGAATAATTTTGAAACGTTCGATGGAAGATGCTATATCTTGGGGTCCTGTAGCTCAGTGGTTAGAACACTCACCTTGCAAGCGAGACAGTTCAATTCCAGGCGGGGCGAAGCCTTGGGCAAGTTTCCTTACTCCACACGCCTAACAATAATCCCTCCAAAACAAAACAATAATAAATTGGTCATTTTCAATCTACGACTGTTTGTGGGATGCTGCTGTGCGCAATTGGCTGCCGCGTTTTGCCCACAAATATAGTCGGTTCACTTTACAGCGTATTCTGTGAAGCACTTTGAGACATCGAGAAGACGTGAAAAGCGCTATATCAGATGCAAGGATTATTATTTATGGATTGTTCTAAAGAAGCTAATGCTCACATTTGATTTTAACGATTCTTCTAGAAGAGGCAAAAGTCGAACGCAGCTTGCACTTCTTCCTCGCGCTTTACGACAACAACCAGCACCAGAAACAACTACTGCAAATGGTACGTGCAAGAACCAACATGGAGACTCTACAGAGGGTGAGGCCAAAAGGATGACCAATGCAGACTTTGCAAAGATGTTGATGAAATAATTGGTAATGTTTTCTTTAACATTCTTGGCATCTAGATAAATGTAAACTACTTTTACAAGATATTTTGAGGACTTAGGCATTGGAACAGGCATAATGAACCAGGACAGCAGAACTGTAAATATCCTTATGACAAATGTTCTCTATAATTTTCAAACCTTCGATGGCATTGATAGGTTAGTACTTCATCTGCAGAAATATATTTTTAAAAATCTGATGCATTAAATATGGTTTGAAATTGAGGTTCTGAATACAGTATTTTCAGTGACAAAGTATGTTTTGTAACTGGTGTTGTGTTATGATTACCTAGAAACTCCTGACATTTTACATTTCTTTTGCTCAGTAACAATGTCAATCTGGCAGATTACGTGGACCATTTTATTTTATGAGTCTGTCTTTTGGCCAATTTCAGTATATTCCTGCCTTATATATTTCTGTTCCTGATTAAATGTTTGTATAAAAGAGATTGATGTTGTGTAGCTTTGCTATTTCTCAGCTTGTTTTTTTTTCAGGTTTCCACAAGTTACAAAAAAATAGTTTATAGCTAGGATCCTGCAATTCAATCAAGGCTTTGTAATGGTACAGCCACTCTATATCATATAACCAATTCAATGAAATTAAGGGAAGTTATACAATTTGCAATATAATTAACATTTATATAACACCTTACTTATTCGGAGGATATCTCAAAGTTTTTAATTTAACATAAAGATGACCAGAAATGGAGTAACAATGACTATTTAGCTCCAGATCATGAGCAGAATACACAAACATATCTTTCACATTTGAATTTTCACAATTGCATTTTTCAAAAAAAACAAATCACTTTTGAGATCTCAACTGAACAATTGAATCGGTGAATATATGCTTTTGGCCAATTGATTCTTATTTATTCTGTTACACAAATAGTTTATGTATTAACACTTTTGTTGAGTAGCAGATATATTTCAGGAAACATAAACAAATCTCACTATGCTTTGTTAATCATCTCCTGTTCTGGGCCTTTCACAAGTGTAATAATGTAAAATATTAAGATCCACATTTTCTTCCCTTGATCACCTGATACCAATGCTATTCTAGTAACATTGGAAATGATTCTTCCCTCACTGTTGGGGAGATGGTTGACCTCTTTCACTTCAGTTTTCTGTGGAAATAATTACAAAATACCACATTTCACCTCTGCACGGTGCCAAACCTTTGTTCATCAGCACCACTCCAATATAATTTAATAATCATTACATCAGTTTCTCGCATGGTTTGTAAATTCAAAATGCAATTAAATTTTAATGTGGAACAGAACAAAGAGCCAGAACTCGACATCACTGTGATGCATCATTGTGGTTTTGAGCAAACAGTCTGTATATAATATAGGTAACAGATGAGCAAATGTGAGCGGATCAGATGCTGCAGAGGATTCACACTTGAGAAACAATGTTACAAAAAGCATTAGAGTCACAAGTACATCAACAAATTGGATTTAAAGATTCTGATCAGAATGCTTGTTTCGTTCAGACTAGTAGCATTGGAATTCCTGGGTACGTGACGTAACACAGTGCCACATTATCTGATGTCAGAACTCAACGTAAGAAGTTGAGGAATTTACCAAGTCACCATATACAAAACAAAGAGATACAATATTTGATTGTGTTGGTCTTTGTTCATTGAAAAATCTGCTAATTTGATCAAGAAAGCAATCATACATGTGCTGCTCACTTCACCCTTTGGAATATATATTTTAGTTATCACTAAGGATTTCAACTTCAATTTGCTCAATGGGTCCAGCAAAATTCTTTGGGGAATACTGTGCTATTTTTCAAAATTAGACTGTTAAGACTTCAGAAGGAAACATGATGTAATGAGATGATTAATTTGTAACCAGAATGGTCTGTGTGTAATCTGAATGATTTGGATTGGCTTCAGGTAAACCTTTATCAACTGAGTGATCAGTGGTTGCAATGATCAACAAGTCCAGTGTCATTTCCGTGCATTTTCCAATAAACCTAATAAATGGTTTTACATCCCCTTCATTGGCCAAGTCCAATGCACTGTAATACTCAGAACGCTGCTCTTTACGAATGGTAATGGGTGGGTAACCAGCCTGCATTAGAATAACATTCATCAGTAAACGTGATGTCCTTCCATTCCCATCTACAAAGGGGTGTATGTAAACAAGCTTATAATGTGCAAGGGCTGCAAATTCTACAGGATGAAGATTCGTGGCTTCTTCAGAATTTAGCCATTGTACCAATTCCTCCATGTGTTTCTCCACATCCCTGGGGTGAGGAGGGATATGGTGACCGACAAACACCTGATTTGTTCGAAACCTTCCAGCTTCAACAGGGTCTACATAACCCAATACTCTTCTATGAATTTCTAAAATGTCATTGATATTAACTGATCCAATCCTGGACATGAGAGACTTGTTAATATATTTCATGGCTGCATCTACACCGATCACTTCATTCTGTTCCACCAGACTCTTCCCAGGCACCGCGTACCTAGTTTCTATGATGTGCCTGATCTCGGACAGGGTTAATGTGTTTCCTTCAATAGCCACAGTATGATAAATATAGTGATAATAACTCTCTTCCATCACACGACACAATGCCGCATTCCATTTGGGTATAGCCAGAATCCTTTTAACTTTGCTGTCAAGAACACTAAATTGTCTTTGGTCAATTTCATCGACCAGTGGTAATGTTCTGTCTCGGTTTACCAGCGCTTTCTCATTGCATGGAGAGATAGTCAAGGCTTTTGAGTATAAATGGTCTGCCTGAATAACATCCCTGTTCTCTTCCAAAAAAATACCCAACTCATTTAAGGCATCAACATAATTAGGATCCATATTGAGGGAATGCAAGAACAGTCTGTGTGCCTTCTCCCGTTTCCCCAGACGCTTCATTTCCAGGGCCTGGTGTAGAGCAGCTTTAGCTTCCAACTGCACTTCTGAAATTAAAACATTTTTATTTTTTATTTCATTGGAAATTAAATTAGTAGTTGACATAACATAACATGTAGGAGCAGGAGTAGGCCATTCGGCCCTTCGAGCCTGCCCCGCCATTCAATCATGGCTGATCCTCTAATCTAACTCCAGCTAATAACCTGACCTGCCTTATCCCCATATCCCTTAATCACTTTTGCAATAAGAAATCTATCTATCTCAGTCTTGAATATGTTCAAGGACTGAGCGTCAACAGCCCTTTGGGGTAGTGAGTTCCATACATTCACCTCCCTTTGACTGAAGAAGTTTTTCCTCCACTCAGTGCGAAAGGGCTGCCTCTGATTTTAAGGTTGTGACCCCAGGTTTTAGTTTCTCCAACCGGGGAAACAATCTCCCACTATCTACTCTTATCATGCCCTTTGATGATCTTATAGGTTTCTATAAGATCCCCTCTAATTCTTGTATATTCCAGAGAATATCGGCCCAAATTGGTCAGCCTATTCTCGTAACTCATCCCCTTCATCCCTGGTACTAACCTAGTAAATCTACGCTGCACCCCTTCCAGGGCAAGTACATCCTTCCTTAAATGAGGAGACCAAAACTGGATGCAGTATTCCAGGTGTGGTCTCACAGGGCCCTATACAGTTGCAGCAAGACTTCCCTACTCTTATACTCTAATCCTTTCACAATGAATGCTAACATACCGTTCGCCTTCCTAATTGCTGCTGCACCTGCAGACTAATTTTCTGTGATTGGTGTAAAAGGACACCCAAGTCCCTCTGGACGCTAACACATTCCAATCTCTCCCCTTCTAAAAAATAACCCCCTCTACTGTTTTTGCTTCCTAGGTGGATGACTTTGCACTTCCCTACATTATACTTCATCTGCCACCTACCTGCCCAATCACCTAACCTATCTATGTCTCGCTGCATTTTTTTAATGTCATCCTCTGTGTTGACACTTCCTCCTAGTTTTGTGTCATCCGCGAATTTAGATATATTAACTTTGATATCCTCATCTAGATTGTTGATGTAGATGGTAAATAGCTGAGGCCCAAGGACTGATCTTTGTGGCACTCCACTAGTCACATCCCGCCAATCTGAAAAGGACCTGCTTATCCCTACTCTTTGTTTCCTACCCGTTAACCATTCCCCAATCCACGTTAATATGCTCCCCCCAATTCCATAGACCCTTATCCTTTGGACTAACCTTTTATGCGGCACCTTATCGAATGCCTTCTGAAAATCCAAATAGACCACATCCACTGATTCACCCTTATCTAGTTTACTGGAAATATCCTCAAAAAACTCTATGAGATTTGTCAAACATGACGTCCCTTTTGTAAAGCCGTGTTGACTTGGCCTAATTATATTGTGCCCTAAATACCGCACTACCACATCCTTAATCAATGATTCTAAAAATTTTCCTATCACTGATGTGAGACTAACTGCCTGTAGTTCCCCATCTTTTCCTTTCCAGCTTTTTTAAATAGTGGTGTGACATTTGCAATCTTCCAATCCATGGGGAATCTGGGAAGCATCCAAGGAATTTGGGAAGGTCAGACACAAGGCCTCCACTATCTCATAAGCTCCCTCTTTTAAAACCCTGGGAGGCAAACCATCCGGTCCATGGGATTTGTCACTTTTTAGTGCTAACAGTTTCCCTAGCACCAGTTCTCCACTAATGAAAATTTCCCTAAGTTGCTCCCAGTCCTTATCCCCTTGGTGCATCTCTATAGTTGGCAGACTTGTTGTGTCTTCTAGGGTGAAGACAGATGCATAGTACCCATTTAGGGACTCTGCCATGTCCTTATCCCCCATTTCAACTTCTCCCGTCTCTGACTGAAGTGGACCTACATTTACCCTCACCAGCCGATTCCTCTTAATGTATTCGTAAAATCTTTTATAATCAGACTTAATGTTCCCAGCGAGCTCACCCTCACCCTAGCGAGCTCACCCATCCACATCCCTCGTGGATTTTTTGGGTGTAGCTGGGTGTCGCACAGATGTAGAAATCCATGACCTTGCTTAAGAGTATCCAAACCAAACAAGAGTTCCATGTACATGTGGAAATTCCCACGGATTAGAATGGAATGTGCACTCTCTCCTCGGAGGAACTCGTGATACTTTCCTAATTCTGAAGTGTATTAGGTACATGTCAGCAAGAGAAGGCTTGGGGATCCCAGAATGTGTGGAGGTACAGCTGGAGTCTTAAGCAGTTAAAATAATAATCTTTACATTTGATACATTGGAATATACAGCACAGAAACAGGCCATTCAGCCCAACTGGTCTATACCGGTGTTTATGCTCCACGTGAGCCTCTTCCTGCCATTCTTCAACTAAGCCTTCACGCATAACCTTCTATTCCTTTCTCCCTCATGTACCTCTGTAGCTTCCCCCTAAATACATCTATGCTATTTGCCTCAACAACTCCTTGTGGTAGCAGGTTCCACATTCTCACTACTCTCTGTGTGAATAAATTTCTTCCAACTTACCTATTTGATCGATTTGTGAATATTTTATAGTGATGGCCCCTGGTTTTGGTCTCCCGCACAAATGGAAATATCGACCCTATCAAAACCTTTCATCTTTTTAAAGACTTCTATCAGGTCACCCCTTACCCTCCTCTTTTCAAGAGAAAAGATCCCAGCATGTTCAGCCTTTCCTGATGGGTATAACCTCTCAGTTCTGGGATCATCCTTGTGAATCTCCTTTGCCCCCTCTCCGAGGCCTCTACATCCTTTCTATAATGATCAGAACTGCACATAGTCTTCTAAGTGTGATCTAACCAAGGTCCTATGGAGGTTTACCATAACTTCCCTGCTTTTCATTTCTATCCCTCTAGAAATGAACGCCAATGCCTGGTTTGCTTTTTTTATGGCTTTATTAGCCTGCGTTGCTACTTTTAGTGAGTTGTGTATGTGTACCTCTAGGTCCTTTGCTCCTCTACCACATTTAGGTTTTTATTTTACAAGATGTGACTTCCTTATTCCTTCTACCAAAATGTACCACCTCACACTGTTCTACATTGAAATGCATTTGCCATTTAAATGCCCATTCAGTAAGTTTATTAATGTCGTACTGTAATTTGTTGCAATCCTCCTCTGTATTAACTACTTCCCCCAATTTGGTGTCGTCCGCAAATTTTGAAATTTGTTGTTGATTCCCGAATCCAAATCATTAATGTATATTGTGAACAACAGTGGGTCCGAATACCGATCCTTGTGGAACACCACTGCCCACCCCCTGCCAGTCTGAGTAGCTACCCTTTACCCCTACTCTCTGTTTGCTGTTTTGTAGTCAGCTTGCTATCAATTCTGCTATTTTTCCCCTGGCTCCACATGCTCTGACCTTATTCATTAGTCTATTATGTGGTACCTTATCGAATGCCTTTTGGAAATTTAAATATATTACATCTACCCCATTCCCCTTGTCTACTCTTTCTGTTACCCCTTGAAAGCATGACCTTCCTTTTTGAAACCCGTGCTGACTATTCTTTATTATGTTTTCCATTTCTAGATGTTTTTCTGTTGCCTTCTTCACTAAGGATTCCATTACCTTTCCTACCACCGATGCTAAGCTGATAGGTCTGTAGTTCCCTGGGCTTGTTCTATCTCCCTTTTTAAATATAGGTATGACATTATCTATCTTCCAGTCCTCTGGTACTACTCCCTTTTCTAATGAGTTATTATATATGTGTAATTGCGCCTCTGCTATCTCTTCCCTCGATTCTTTTAATATACGCAGATGCAATCTATCTGGACCAGGGGTTTTATCATCTCTGAGTTTCGTTAGTTTTTCGATTATATCTCTCCTTTGTATCTTAAATGTATTTATATTATTTTAGATCTCTTCTACTGCCATGTCCACCTGATCCGTCTCCCTGGTGAATACTGAGGCAAAGTAATTATTTAATATTCCTGCCATTTCGCTGTCTGTGATCTTAACTTGTCCATCCTTTAGTGGCCCTATTCCTATTTTGATTTTTCTTTTGTTATTTATGTCTGTAGAATATTGGTGTAATACCTTATGTTGTTAAGCTGTCTCAAAGCCCTTCACAGGGTTAACAATAACAAATTACATTTGTACAGCACCTTTCACGTCAGGAGGACGTCCCAAGGCGCTGGACAGTTAGGGTTCAGCACCCAAACTGGTGGTTGGGATCAGGAGGGGTGAAGGGCAGAGGGTAGGGGTAGGAGGGTAACCAAATGCACAATAAAAGACAGGTCTTGAAGGAGGCAAGGGAGTGGGGGGGGGGGGCGGAGGGATGGATTTCCAAAGGTTAGATGCAGAGAGGGTGAAGGCTCGCCCGCCAATGGGAGGCAGGCAAGGCGGGGGACGTGAAGCAGGCCGGAGCCCGCTGAGCGGTTGTGGTTAGGAGATCACAGAGGTAGGGAAGAGCAAGGTTTTCAAGGGCTTTGATGATGAGGACCAGGATCTTGAACTGTATCCGCTGAGTGATGGGGAAACAGTGGAATCAGGCGAGGATGGGGGTGATAGGCTCGCAGAGCCTGGTGCGGGAGAGGACACGGGCTACATAGTTCTGGATGATCTGCAGCCCGTGGAGCTCAGTGGGAAGAACTTCTACCACTAGAGACTGATCTGTGCCCTCCTGATGAGCCAGGCTGTCATCAGCAAGCCCTGGAGTACTGTGGACCTGCCTGGCTCAGGAAACTGGACCGGAGACCGCCACAGAAAGTGGACTCAATTCCGACGGCAAGCAGGTCACCTTAGAACCAGTTCAGCTCCAAGGAGACGCCATGCATCACCCCTCCCCCACCCAAGAAGGATCGTAGGTTATTTCCAACTTTCTATGTTGTAGTTATCTGAAACTACATTACTGTTTACCAAATTTTGTGTCTTTAACCTTCTCAGTCCAGCCCCTTCATTCCCTTCACAGAGTAGATTTGTGCCCTCACTAAAGTGGGTGGAAGGAGCTGGAACTCCCCGCAGCTTCCTCGTGGGCAGCACAGCTCAGCATGAAAGGCCTGAAGAGCATCAACATCTGCAGTGGCACAGTCCACCTCACCAAAGGCAGTTGGGAACCTGGGCATCTTGTTCGACCCTCAACTGTCCTTTCTCCCCCTTATCAGCGCCTTGGGACGTCCTCCCGACGTGAAAGGCCGATACACATGTAATCTTGTTGTTGTTGTTGTTGTTGCTATTCTTACCCACAACTCCCACCCGGTCCCCTGATGGGCAGCAGCTGTTTTATCTCTAAACCATCGTGTGTTTACAAACAGCCATTAATCCCCTTAACGAAGCCACCGGCCCCACACGAGCCCTGCCCTGACCCCACACCGGCTCGGCTCGGGCCCAGCGCGGCTGCGCGCTCTCACCTGGCGACGGCTCGTGTGTAAAGGCCAAGGTGTCGGATAGTTGTGTGAAATCCAGGCCGCTGTGGGCCAGGCTGAGGCCGGAGATGTGGCCTTGAACCTCGCCCCCCAACAGCCGGCAGCGGAGCAGCTGGAAGCCGCTCCTCATCTGCGGGAAGAGCAGCGACGCCAGGATCCCGAGGGTCAGGGCCGCGGCAGCAGCGCGGACACCGCCCGAACCCACCATCGCCGCTGAGGCCCAGGCACTGCGCGCGCAGTCTCAAAATAGCCACACGCCCCCGGGCCACGCTCCAGCCGCTCATTGGCTGCTCATTGTCATGGCAGCCAAAGCTTTACACCCATTGGTCAGTTCTCCTGTCAATCGGCCGAACAGCGGGAGAGAGCGGGGGAGTGGGGTTGATCAGGGCTATGGGGAGAGAGAGAGTTGGTTCGGGGTCGCTGGGGCTCGTTTGGGGTTGGCTCGGGGTTGGCTCGGGGTCGCTGGGGGTCGCTGGGGCCGGTTCGGGTTTGCGATTGTGTGAGACAATCGCGTCTCCATTTGCAACTGAATTTGATCTCAATATTCCGTATCGGTGGAACACATCGTGTTTATTGTCTGAATCCAGTAATGCTTTATTACGTAGCAATTATGAGCACACATATGGTGTATAAAAGATATAAAATAGGAAACAGCACAATAATATAAAAAGACTACACAACTATAACTAACTTCAGAGCAAAGCGTTACTACTGGACTTTGCTGATTCAGGACTATGTTGATTCAGCACTTTGTCTTTTCTGCAAACAAGTCTTCTGTGTTTTCACCCTTCCTTAGTTCTCACAGCTGTCTTGCTCTGGACTTCACTAACTTTAACCCTATTGCACTGCAACCTCCATACACCATTGCCACCAATCACGGTATACACCGTGACCAGAGGGTCAATTAACCCTCTGGCTCGGGCCGGCCTGACTTCAGTCTCCACGAGGTCTTCCCCTTGTCGTGTCTTAATACATAAATTGGATTAGTTTAGGGCTGTATCTGGTGCTTGTTATTTTGTTGTGTGGGATTATTAGTACATTCCTTTTAAGTGACTGGTTATTTCTTATCAGTATCCCAGGATGGTACCGAGGTCCTTGAGTTTAAGCCACTTGCTCATTAGTTGCTATTCTTGAGGGTTGCCCTCTGTGTCTTGGGAGGCCTTGTTAGAATCTAGCGACTTGTTGCTCAGTCGAGATCCTGTGTCGACCAGTACCTCGGACCGTTACCTCTGTTGTCATTTACTGATAAAAGGGGACCCTCTGCCCTTTCCCAAAGCCGTCTTGTTCCTTTTTCACACACAGAGAAAACTAGATGTGTTCTATACCGTGACTGTCAGTACTTTCTCCATTCTGCATTTGTTTAATATTCATTATTATTATACTACAACTTCTATAGTCGAACAACAGTAAATTCTGGGCTTTTATTTGTTGGTTTGAAGCTGATTTTGTGCAACTTGAGATTTGCTGAGTTTTCCCTTTGTGTTTTAAGAGATTTTATACAGACAGCCTCGCATGTGCGTGCGCAGACCCTCACCCCCCTTCCCGGCCCCACCTAGACTTGGGGCCGGGGTTCGAGACCTCGCGCCTTTCCCGGTGATGCTTCATCCTCCAGGTAACAAAAAAATAATAAAACATCTTTGTTTAAATTATTTTTCGCGGTTAATAAAAAACCTCTTGCGTCAGTGGGAAATCATTCCTTTTTTGAAATAATAATAATAATAATAATAATCCTTGCATTTGATATAGCGCTTTTCACGTCGGGAGGACGTCCCAAAGCGCTTCACAGAATATACTGTAAAGTGAATTGACTGTATATTTGTGGGCGAACGCGGCAGCCAATTGCGCACAGCAATGTCCCACAAACAGTCGTGGATTGAAAATGACCAATTTATTATTGTTTTTGGTTTTTGGAGGGATTATTATTAGGCTCTGTGTGGAGTAAGGAAACTTGCCCAAGGTTTCGCCCTCTGCCTGGAATTGAACTCAGGTCTCTCACTTGCAAAGCGAGTGCTCTAACCACTGAGCTACAGGACTCCTGATTTTTGACATGAATCTTGATTCATGTCAAAAAAATTAGAGGAACGACGTAAATTGACCCCGAAAACTGGTGCAAAATGTTCCTAATTCTGCATTTATCCCAATCATATCCATGGGGTTTGGCATTGACATTGGGATTCCCTAATAACCGCTCTCCGGGAACAACGCGGGAAACGGGTTTAAAGTGCAATAGTTTATTAAACTCAATCAGCTGCAAACAGGAGCCAGACAGGGGCGGGGCTAGTGACGGAGTGGGCGGGGCTAGTGACGGGGTGGGCGGGACCGGGGGTGGTGACACGTAAGGGGCGGGGGCTAGTGATACGGGTGGGCGGGACCGGGACTTGTGACACGTGAGGTGCGGTACTGGTGACGCGAGGTGGGCGGGATCGGGACTTGTGACACGTAAGGGGCGGGGCTGGTGACTGGGTGGGCGGGACCGGGGCTTGTGACACGTGAGGGGCGGTGCTGGTGACTGGGTGGGCGGGACCAGGGCTTGTGACACGTGAGGGGCGGGACTGGTGACTGGGTGGGCGGGAGGTTTGTGACACGTGAGGGGCGGGACTGATGACGCGGGGTGGGCGGGATCGGGACTTGTGACACGTGATGGGCGGTGCTGGTGACGCGAGTGGGCGGGATCGGGACTTGTGACACGTGAGGGGCGGGGCTCGTGACTGGGTGGGCGGGATCGGTACTTGTGACACGTGAGGGGCGGGGCTGGTGACGCGTGATGGGCGGGATCGGTACTTGTGACACGTGAGGGTCGGGGCTGGTGACGAGTGCGTGGTGGGGTCATGATGTAGGCAGGATTTCAGTCTGTAGACCGTATTTAGGAATTAAAGCGAGGTCGTCGCTGTCTTAAAGGCAGGAGCGAAAGTGTATGGGGCATGTGGGTTGTAGACTGCCCACTCACATGCACAGCCCCCCCCACACACATAGACCTCCCCCCCCACACACATACAGCCCCCCCACACAGACACACACATACACACAGAACACCCCCTCCCCCACACACAAACCTCACCCACACACACACCCCCACAAACAGAGCCTCAACCCAGTAGATAAAAACAGTAGAGAGGAAAGATTTTAAATCCGAAAAGCAGGAAAAGTAGTCAGTATGGGTAGAGGTACGTAACAACAAGGGGCAGAAAACTCCATTGGGAGTAGTTTATAGACCCCCGAAGAGCAGTTACAGTATCTCTCAAGGTATAAATCAGGAAATTAGCAGAGCGTAGAGTAAAGGAAAAACATTAATTGTGGATGATTTTAATCTGCACATAGATTGGGACAACCAAATTGGGAAAAGTATGATAGAGGAAGAATTTATAGAATGTATTAGGAATAATTATCTTGATCAGTTTGCCAAGGGGCCGACCAGAGAACAGGCCATATTAGACCTTGTTTTGTGTAATGAAGCAGGTGATCAGCAAACTGGAAATTAAGGCTCCTCTTGGGCAAAGTGATCATAATATGATGGAATTTAGCATTAAGTTAGAGAGAGAAATAGTTAAGTCCGAAGCAAAGGTTTTAAACTTAAGTACAGCCAATGTTGCTGGTATGAGAGGATTTAGCCAAACTAACTGGGAAATTAGACTTAAGAATTTGACAGTTGACCAGCAATGGCAGACGTTTAAGGAGATAGTGCACAATTCCCAGCGAACACGTATTCCTTTGAGGAATAAGAATGCCACAGGAAAGGGGGCCAACTGTGGCTAACTAGAGCAGTTAGGGAAAGTATAAAGTTAAAGGAAGAAGCCTATAAAACAGCTAAGATGAGTAGTAAGCCCAAGGATTGGGAGAACTTTAGGGATCAACAAAGGAGAACCAAAAAAGTGATTAAGAGGGAGAAAATGGAATATCAGGGCAAACTAGTGAGGAACATAAAGACAGACTGCAAGAGTTTTTATAAATATATAAAGAGGAAGAGGCTGTCAAGGGTAAATGTGGGTCCGCTACAGGCATAGATGGGGGGAATTATAGTTGGGGACAAAGACATGGCAGAGTCATTAAACAAGTGCTTTGCTACTGTCTTCACCTTAGAAGACACTGAAAACCTACCAAGAATAGAGGGGAACCGAGAAGAACATGTTAGCGAGCAACTTGGGGGAATTAATATTAGTAAAGTTTTAGGTAAATTATCAGGTCTTAAAACTGATAAATCTCCTGGACCTGATGGCCTACATCCCAGGGTTTTAAAAGAGGTGGCTACTGAGATAGTGAATGGCTTGTCTTTGATCTTCCAAAATTCTCTGGATTGCGAAACGGTTCCCATTGATTGGAAGATTGCAAACGTGACACTACTATTTAAGAAGGGTGGGAGAGAAAAGATGGGGAACTATAGACCAGTTAGTCTAACTTCAGTGGTAGGGAAAATTCTTGAGTCCTTAATTAAGGATGTTGTTATGGGATTCCTGGAAGACCATAACAAGATTAGGCAGAGTCAACATGGCTTTACAAACGGGAAGTCATGCTTAACTAATCTTTTAGAGTTTTTTGAAGATGTATCTAGCAGGTTAGATGGGGGGAACCAGTAGTAGTATATTTAGATTTTAAAAAGGCATTTGACAAAGTGCCACACAAAAGGCTATAACACAAGGTTAAGGCCCATGGGATTAATGGGAACATATTAGCATGGATTGAAGAGTGGCTAACGGGTAGAAAACAGAGAGTAGAGATAAATGGGTCATTCTCGAATTGGCAGGATGTGACTAGTGGAGTGCCACAAGGATCAGTGCTGGGCCTCAGCTATTTACAATTTACATTAATGATCAAGACGAGGACATTGAATGTAACGTATCTAAATTCGCGGATGACACTAAACTCGGTGGGAGAGTAAGCTCTGAGGATGATGCAAAAAGATTGCAATGGGATATAGATAGGCGAGGGGAGTGGGCGAGTAGGTGGCAGATGGAATTTAATGTGGGGAAGTGTGAAGTTATTCACCTAGGTATAAAAAATAGAAAATCAGATTATTTTCTGAGGGGGAGAGATTAGATAGTGTTAGTGTGCAGAGGGATTTGGGTGTCCTTGTACACTAATCTCAAAAAGTTAGTTTGCAGGTGCAGTGAGCAACTAAAAAGGCAAACGGCATGTTAACATTCATTGCAAAAGGTTCAGAGTACAAGAGTAGGGAAGTCTTGCTACAAATGTATAGGGCCTTGGTGAGACCGCACCGAGAGTATTGTGTGCAGTTTTGGTCTTATTTAAAAAAGGACATA